TTCGGATACTTTAACGCAAAGAAACTCCGAATACAGCCCTCTTCCTAGTTCTCTGAGTTATTTACATACATACATATCTGTCACGCCTGTCTCCCATTAGGGTAGGCAGAAACAATGGAACGCCAAATGCTTCGATTCAAACAAACCTCTTTCGCTTCTTCCACATTCATCAATCTTGTCATACACGCTCGTCGGTTACGGGTACTTTTAATTTGGCCCTTCTTCAGCACGTCTGAGTTATTTAAATCTTTTAAATACGAGCAACATTTTTTTTATTTATATTTAATTAGTTTTTCTTTATCAGCTTCGTAAGCTTGTTTGCCATTGTACTCAAGTATCATAAAAAACTACCCAACGCATCTAGATTACCATGACCTCCTTGACTTTGCACTCACTTTGAGAACCCGTGAGTCTACAACATTTATAATCCTATTGATATAATAATAATTCCAAATTTAAATGCAAAGTTTGAATGTTTGTCCAACGTTCTCATACAAATATGCAAAATTTGTTCATTAATTACGATTAATTGACTGCACATATTTGTATGAAATATGAAATGTACATCCAATATTAATACAAAAAATAAAAATCTTTTTATAAAACTTTTAAATATACAGTTACAATTTCCACTTTTGGCTACATAAAATAAATATGCAATATTTAAACATTTGTAGACTTGGTTCTTTTTTTTATAATGGGTAACAATGGAACTAGAACGCTGCCTGCGCTATCGGCATATGGTGCCAGTGAGAGGTAAGGATGAAAGTAGATCAGTTAGCCCATAGTGATGTATCCCACAAGAATTAACCACGATAGATTCCTGGAGGAACCGCGTGGAGTTCGAACTAATGGACAATTAAACCCCATTACTAATGGGGGAAAGAGATTGTTAGTGTGCTGTCCTCCTGGTATGGTAGGTAGGTGTAGGAAATAATAAACAATAACATGTCACAATGCGACTCACACGACCACCCGCCCGGACGTCACCCAGAGGAGTGGCCGGAGCGGGGGGACTTGCAGTCTCAACTTTAATGAGTACATCACAGTTAGTAATGGGTCTAACTGACCTATTGCTTGCAATACACTGTATCAGGTCGACCTCTACGCAGTACCCCTTTGAAACCATCGTGGTTAATTCTAGTGGAATTCGTCATGACGAGCTAACTGAACTGCTTTCATCGTCCAACCTATCATCCCTCACTGGTGCCCCGCCAGCGTATACCGATAGCGCAGGCGGGATTACCATTCCATTATCACCCATTTAAAAAACCCATTAGTAACAATTTAAACAATGGGAGAAAGCCCCAAGATAGTTTACTATGATATTAACTTTAATGCTTCTAATAAGACAGTCTGCTGATTTTCAATAGAACTAGTAAATAATTGATTAATTATATTAAGGTTTAGATTTGTTACTAATTTAATTTAGCAAGTATCTCTGTGACAATCTCTTCTAAACCTGGTTATCATTCCATTAAGTTCCATTGTGACAGATTACATCAATACCTAGACCATTGTTTCTCAACCATTTTTATGTAGCGACCCACGAAAAAGATAAAAAATTAAGTAAAAATTCTTGCGACCCCGTCATTATGAAATTATAATACAATTTTAATTAATATTTAATTTATACGTTTAATAATAAATTTTTGTTATTTAACTACGTTAAACTAACGGAGTGCGAATCTGAATGCTACCACACCACTATCTTAACAATAGGAGATAACAAGTGACGAGCAAAACAAAGTCATTTACGTTCGTTTCTAATATTTTAGCTATTATAAAAACGTATAGTGTATGAAATTAATAGTCGAATGATTTGAAAATCATTCGAAAAATTCGCATGAATTGCTCAATCGAATAACTATTCACCTAGGACACCAGAGGGAGACTTTGTACAAAAGTGGTTTGCTTGGGCACCTCTGTTCCATTCGTGTTTCTACCGTGAAGCAGTTGTGTTTGCATGGCTGTGTTTCAATTTGAAGGGTAGGATATGGTAGTGAATTTACAGTGTACAGAGGAATAATACCTGAGTCCTCAACACATGGGATGTATCATGGGCGAAACAGTATATTCTGTTATGTCCATGGTACTGCTCATGTCTATAGGCGACGGTTACCACTTTCCATCAGGTGGGTCGTTAGTTTGTTTGCCATACTAAGTTGCATAAAAAAAGGATTGGTAAAGCTGCGTATCGCAACAAGTCTTTTGAGGTCTTATTTTTCAATAGATTGCGACCCCATCTAGTAATAAACGCGACTCCCCCAAGAGCAGCGACCCCTCAGTTGAGAAATGATGACCTAGACATTTCAGTTTAAGTAACAGAAATAGTTTAGATACTGAACAAGGGCTCAAATAATAAAATTCTGTTAGACATCTTCCATTGAAAGGGCTTTGTGAACGCTTTGTGAGCGATTCGATAAAGCGGAACCGAAGCTAGAGTGCTTTTAATTAGTACAAAGGTATATATTACTAGTAAATTAAACCTATAAAGTTTGGGTATTCAGGATCTGCTATTTTAAAAGTCTTCAGAAAAGAGTCGTTCTTAATTCAATTGTATTGATTTTTCATTCTTAACAAGGGCGGATAATATATAGCAATATATATATATTTTAGTAACCAATATGTATATATTGGTCTGATTATGAATATATTAAAAGTCTGTTATCCAAAAAATAATTTCAAATAACAGACTTTTATATTCTATTTTTTTATACAACTTAGAATGGCAAACAAACTGACGGTCCAGCTGATGGAAAGTGATAACCGTCGCCTATAGACATGAGCAGTACCATGGACATAACAGAGTATACTGTTTCGCCCATGATACCCCCCATGCGTTGCCATTCCTGAGGACTCAGGTGTTATTCCTCTGTACCCAGTAAATTCACGCCATATCCCACCGTTCAAACCGAAACACAGCCATGCAAACAAAACTGCTTCACGGTTGAAACACGAATGGGACAGAGGTGCCCAAGCAAACCACTTTTGTACAAAGTCTCCCTCTGGAATAGATATCCAATAATAATAGATATCCAATCAAAACGGAGGATATCGAAACGAGTGATGACCTATCCGCTATCAATGTTCTGAGGAACCCAATATATAGATATCGAATCGGTATTCATATTACCCATGCCTAATTCTTTACAATATAAAGCTCTCACCAGACAAGGTGGAATCGAATATAATTACATAGATACAACCAGCCAAAAGCACTTTTGTCGGAATCACTTAATCAAACGTACTTTTAACCAACTCCATTGGGCAAAAGTACTTTTAACTGTTATTTTAGCTAAAAGTTTTTTTTTCTTGATAGGTGAAAATGGTATGGTAACCCCGCCTGCGCTAACGGGATATGCTGGCGGAGCACCAGTGAAGGGTGATAGATGAGAAAAAACAGTTCGCATGAGAAAGAACAAGACAAAGCACGTCATCGTCTCATTCTCTCTCATAGACTCGCGAACGATAACCATTTTGTCGATAGATTATTTTGTAATTTGTCTAGGGGGCAAGTTAGAATAGATGTCATTAGCGATATGTAAAACTTAGAATCTACCCACGCTATAGAATAAATTAAGATATAGTCGTCATTATATGATATCGCCGATTTGCGCGATATACAAATGCAGTGAAAATAACACTATTTAAAGCGTATTGTGCATCATTGTATTCGGCGAGTCAGTGGTTCTGGTATACTCGGGGGGCCTGCATTGCCTTGCGTATCCAATTTTATAATAATTCCAGGTTGCTGTTGCGGCTCCCGCGCTTCTGTAGCGCCTCAGCGATGTTTGCCGACGCTCGCACAGATAGTTTTCACGCAGTCTGGCGTAAAAAGACAGCTTCGTTTTTACGTCGAATACGCGGGAGTAGCAACAGTATACTGAGCATGTTTGTTAATAAATTGGATAGTCCTCTCGTGAAAATGCTCGCCGAGAGGACTAGATCATTATTAGTGGTTAAGTATTAACACAGTTTTTAAGTACACTTACTAACAAAAATGGATCCAAGTTATCTAAAAATAAATAAATAAATAAAAAAAAATTATATAAACCGTTAACTGTCCACTGCTGAACATAGTATTGAAACTTCTTTGTAGTTTCAATGTAAATTTAAGTCTGGCTTGGTCTTGGTTAAGTCATATATATGTTGATATAATTTTTTCTAAAGTTTTTTATTTCTATTCAAATTGTTGTTTCGTCTTGTATCTCTACTTATTATATGTATTGTTGCTCTTAAGAATATGATTTTCCACTGAGACCCTCTACACATAGGCCTTCCCCATAAATGAGGGGTTTGCTAGTACTTGCCACGTTTGGTAGGCGGATTGACAACCGGAGTTACGTTTTGAAGATGTGTTAAGAAGGACGCTGCCCATCGCTCTTACGTTAAGTCTTTTTAGTTACCTCATACGACACCCATGGGAAACGAAGGGATGGCCCATTCCATGTCGAAACCACACAGCAAAGAACGTAAGTATCTTAAGTAATATCATATAATCGGTAAATGTATATAAAAGACCCCATAGATTATTCTGTTGCATTCCAACTCCGTTTGTAACCGATGGGAATACTCCAAAAGATATTTACGCACAAAAAAGCTGATTTGTAACGGAAAAAGGAAATATAGTGAAAAGTAATATTTGCCCGGTGGTTTAACGACAGCCCTGGGGATCTCATTGTCCAATACTGGGAAATATCGGGTATCGACGCGTAAAGGTATTATTTACCGTTGTCCTGTTTATATTATAGATGTATTTGTTAAGACGTTTAGATATTTTCACTATATGATATTATACAAAATATTTGTGTATTTTGAAAGTATATGTTTTCAAAGTATTATTATAATAGTTTAGTAATATGTCCATATTTCCTTCGTTAGATACAGCCGATACCGCCATACGATCACAATCATCAACGTCATTATCATCCTCTAATAGTTCTATACATTCAACTTACTCATTTACTTGCAAAAACTCATTCAAAAACACTAGTACAATGTCATCATCAAATTCATCGCTGTCAGTAGATGTTGCACAGGAGGCTGCTGCTATGGACCCTGTGCCCACTACAGACATAGTTCGTGCGCGAAAAAAGTGGACTAAAGACATGAATATGTTCATATGGCGCACTTATCTCATAATAACTGCATTAGAAACAAAAGTCAAAGGATACCTAGAACCGTTACACAGACAATTCGTCGAAAAATACCCTGACATGAAAGTATCAAAGCAGCGTGTAGGGAACCAACGACGAGCAATTTTGAGGAATAAACTCCTTCCATCCATTGTGTTAACTGATCTGAGGAAAGAAGTCTCAGAGATTCTTAACCAAGAAAACCAATTATTACCTGAAACAACTTTTGCACGTAATTCATCTAGAAGAATCAACTGGACTAACGATATGAATGAGTCAATCATTAAATCTTATTACAAAATCACTCAGCTTGAAACAAATAAATGTGCATACCGTAAACAGCTTCATGCAAGTGTAATAGACCAATTCCCACAATTAGAACATCTTTCAGAACAACGAATTGCAGATCAACGTCGAGCAATTATAGTAAATAAATATATTACCGATCAACGGTTAGAAGAAATAAAACGAGAAGTAGAATCTGTTTTAACAACACCTAATTTACAACTTAGTCTTGAAAACCAGATTTGTGCGAGTACAAATTCATCAAGACCAAATAACATACAGACGATTCAAACTTCTATTTCACAAAATACCTCTATAAATTCCCAAGATAACGACCAGATGACAGATACTAATAACCATTATTACAATAGAAGTAAATCGATCACATATACAAACTCACAGTTAGATTTACATATTATGGCTAAATTTGAAGAAACACTTAGCCGTTTTAAAGATACAAATCCTACAGAAAGACCTTACATACCAAAACAAAAAGTCTCTAGGAAGCTGAAATATATAATCAACTACATAAATACAAAACTATTGTCGAAACAAATAACAGAAAATGAAAATTTCATAAAAACACACACGACACTATATTGTGCGGCTTTTACTGCAGCAATCTGCAACGGGACAAAAATCAAAGAACAAAGAACTGATATACACCAAACCATCTATACTCCAGTCTGGCAACAGAGACTACGTAAAAAAATAGAAGATTTAAGAAGAGACATTGGAAGGATGATACAATACATGAGGGGTAACAGAAGTAGAAGATTGAAACAACACATAGACAATATCAAAAACACATATAAAATACATACTAAACACGAAGAACCCAACATTACTGACAATCAGGTCTTAGATACATTAAAACAAAAATTAAACGCTGCAACAAGTCGATTAAAGCGATACGTAAACTGCACATTAAGAAAAAAACAAAATTCTCAATTCATTAACAGCGAAAAGCAATTTTATAGACAGCTCACATTAAATACACAAAATACACCTACAGGTGCTAACACACAATCAACGGTGACAATGCCGTCAGCTGAAGACTTACTCGTACATAGGTTCTGGTCTAACATTTGGGCTAACCCAGTATCACACAACGATGCTGCAGGCTGGATAAAAACGAACGCACAACTCTTGGACAAGATTACTGCCATGCAATATGAACATGTCCCAATACAAGTTTTCGATGATGTCATAAAGAAAATGCACAATTGGAAAGCTCCAGGAACAGATAATATCCATAATTACTGGTACAAAAAATTTAGTAGACTGCATCCAATACTGCATAATCATATCAATAGTTTTATAGAAAACCCAGACACTATACCAGAGTTTGTTACGGAGGGCATAACGTACATGATACCTAAAGATCAGGAACACCAAGATCCAGGAAAGTATCGACCTATTACATGTTTACAGAATATATATAAAATAGTTACATCATGTCTCACTAATTTAATATATAATCACATCGAAAGGAACAATATTTTGAGTGAAGAGCAGAAGGGTTGTCGCAAAAATAGTCGGGGCTGCAAAGAACAGTTAACAATAGACACAATAGCAATGAAAATAGTTTCCCTAAGAAAGAAAGATTTCAGTGTAATGTACATAGATTACTGCAAAGCATTCGATTCTGTACCACATAGCTGGCTTCTGTATATCCTTCACCATTACAAAATTCATCCAAATATTATAGCACTCCTAGAATCCACTATGAAACACTGGAAAACAAAATTAAAGTTAATCAACGGTAGTAATATTATACAAACTGCTGACATTCCAATAAGGCGAGGCATATTCCAGGGAGATGCATTGAGTCCCCTGTGGTTCTGCCTCGCCCTAAATCCACTCTCCCAAATACTCAATGAATCCGACGCAGGACTAAAAATATCATCAGATGAAAACGAAACAAAATTGTCACACCTCATGTTTATGGACGACATAAAACTTTACAGTAATGATATACAAACACTCCATAAGCTAGCAGATCTAACACAAACTTTCTCTAATGACATATGCATGCAATTCGCTGTAGATAAATGTAAAAGCCTCACAATCTCCAATGGTAAAATAATAAATGCTGAATATGAACTAAACTCGGGGGATTTGATAGAACCACTTGACCCTCACAGTTCATACAAATATCTGGGATTCCAACAATCACGCCAAATACACCAAAAACAGGTTAAACAAGATTTAATCAAAAAATTTAAACATAGATTAAACGCATTATTACGCTCTCAGCTGAATTCACGTAACCTTACTAAAGCCATCAATACTTACGCTATCCCTGTATTAACTTATTCATTTGGAATAATCAACTGGACTAAAACAGATCTTAAAAACCTGCAGCGAATCATAAACACGACATTAACTACACATCGCAAGCACCATCCAAAATCCTGTATACAAAGATTAACATTACCAAGACATGAGGGAGGAAGAGGAATAAGCGATATCACCAATCTCCATAACAAACAGATTACAAACTTAAGAAATTACTTCTACACAAGAGCAGTGAAATCGAATCTCCACAAAGTAATTATAGAAACAGACATGCGACTAACGCCTTTAAACTTGCGGGATAGGACAACTCAAGGGAATGAAAAAATAACAGACAACAAGGACAAGATTTTAACCTGGCAGCAAAAGTCACTGCACGGAAGACATCAAAAGGATTTACAACAGCATCATGTCGATAAAAAAGCATCGAATGCATGGTTGATTCATGGAGATCTTTTTCCTGAAACAGAGGCTTTTGCAATGGCAATCCAAGACCAAGTAATTAACACCAAAAACTACCAAAAGCATATCACCCACACAAATATTTCAGTAGACATCTGTCGCCGTTGTCATGAAGCTCCAGAGACAATTCAACATATAACCGGTGCCTGTAAATCTATAGCCCAAACAGACTACAAACACCGACATGACCAAGTTGCAGCAATAATCCACCAGTATTTAGCATTTACATACAATTTAATAACAGAAAAAATAGCTTATTATAAATACCAACCATCAGCAGTATTAGAAAATGAACGTTACAAAATGTACTGGGATCGAACTATTATAACAGATAAAACAATACATTATAACAGACCAGATATTACTATTCTTGATAAAGACAATAAAATAGTTTACTTTATAGACATAGCAATATGCAACACACACAATTTGACAAAAACACGCTCTGAAAAACTAGCTAAATACACAGATCTTTCTATAGAAATAAAATCCCAATGGCGAGTTCATACAGTAAAAACAATACCAATAGTTTTATCTACAACAGGTGTTATCCCGAAAACCTTACACACAAGTCTCCATACATTATGTATACAACCCTCCACATATATACTCCTCCAAAAAGCAGCAATTTTAAATACATGTCGCCTGGTCCGTAAGTTCCTATCATTGAACTGACATTCCAAAAACACTTGGCTTTGGCCCGTGTCTAAAACTACCTCTAAATGAGAGATATAACAAATTAAATAAAAATAATAATAATAAGCCTTTATTGTTGTAAGTATTACATTTTACAAACATTTAACACTACAATTCTAAACGACTTTTCCAGCTTGTCCTTTGACATAGGCCTCCTCAAGATCCTTCCACTTTTCTCTATCTTTCGTTAATCTATACCACAACTTTCCCGCTGTTCTTTTTATATCATCCTCCCATATTTTTTTCTGGCCTAAGATTGCCTATTTCTTATTAAAATGTTAAAAGTTAAGGATAAGCAAGTTGAAATGGCAATGGACTGGTCACATAGCTCCAAGAACCAACAATCGATGGTGGAGAGGCGATCCCGTATAGGCAAATGCAGAGTAGGACGACCTCCCACTAGATGGCGTGACGACATCAAATGCATTTTTTTAACGGGTAATAATGGAATTGTATTGGAATGGCGGGGCAGCAGTGATAGATGATAAGTGACGATTAAAGCAGGTCATCGTAACCAATTCCACTACGATTAACCACGATGGTTTCCAAGGGAACCGCGTGGAGGCCGACCTGATAGGGTGTATTGCTAGTATAATGAGTCAGTTAGACCCTTTCACTAACAATCTCTTTCCCCCCATCAAATGCATTGCAAAGAATCGTATGGCTCAGGGCCGTTTCTTATGGCAGTCTATGGGGGAGGGCTATGGCAGTTCAGTTCAGCAGTGGACAGGAAATGACCGAGATGATGACGATGATGATGATGATGATGATGATATGTAATGTATTACCGTTCGTTAATTTAATAAATTATAAATAGGATCGCTATAATATAGTTTACAGTATATATACGTCTTTTTTGTTAGTTTACTCAGAATTACGCATGCTGCTTCCTTGATCTTGAAATGAGTAGAGTAAATATTTTCGTCTCAGCTTGTACCTACATACCAAAATAAATGGGCATTTTATTGTGGTAGGTATGTTCCCAGGCAGATGGTGTATTAGGGTTCCCTACTCGTTTACATCGACATTAATTTTTTTTTATTTTTTTATATAACTAGAATAAGTGTATAATAATATGCGTTGTTTTTGCTGGTCCGTTTTTTCTTTATTACTTCATATTGTATGAAAATTAAATTCAGTAACCTCTGACGTTAAATTAACCTAATAATGACTATTATTTGACAGTTCTTTAACGTGATGTCGCTTCTATTTCAATTTAATTGCGCCAATTTATTTCGAAGTCAACCATCATAATCATCGCCATTGGGAGAGTTTGCCAATAGTTACCATGCTTGGCAGACGGGTTGGCAACTGCAATCTGACTTTTGTTGATGTTTTAAGAAGGACTCTGGCTTCACCATTAAGTCAGTCAGCTTCTTATAATATTTACACTAAATACCTTACGAGGAATGCAAATAGAACCGGGTATCAAACGCAAAGGCGTTTGACCCTGATGGGTAGAAACTTATACATGTATCTCTTCCTTTATCCTCTTTTATATTGTGTAAAAATGTATTAAATATGGCGCAGTGGTGGGCACGTGTGGTCCCAGGATCGAATCTTGATCGAGATTGTAATGTACCTATTAATATTAGGTATTTAATTCTTAACAAAATCGGTGAAGAATTGATAAAATAAATACATAACGCAGATACTAAAAACTAAAGATGAATAAAGAACTTTCTTTTTAAAAATAAAACTTGCGGAACCACAACCTCACAAGCCGACTTACGCTTAGCCATTTTATAACGATGATCATGTGATGTGGCAGTTTATTTTAGACGATTTATACCCGGTGGCCGGTTGTGGTCCGAGGAAACGGGGGTCGGGTGGGTCACAACGATACGTCAGTGTGGGAGGAGGTGGACGCGCGTGACTGATGGTACGTGTTGCGTGAGATACGAAACTGAGAAGCGTTTCGGGGTAGGTTAATCATATGATGACCTAGTGGTGGGCGGTTTAATCTTACTTCGTATTTCAATGGTTGCGGATTCGATGTTTATGTAACTAGTCTGGCCACAAATACTTTTTTTTTTATAATGTTCGCCCAATTTGTGGACAGTCTAAAGTCATTTAGACCATACCGCCTTGTCTGAAGTAATCTATAAGATTGGTATGAAAATTGGAAAACAATTTCATTTGTTATAATATATATAATAATTTATAGGATTTCAGTCTCTTTGTTCCATATTTAGTCCGCAGCCGATTGGATATTTTGTATTCTAGTTTAGCATATCGATATGTTTGCCACATTTGTCAGTCCGGTGATCGTGTATATGAAATGTCAAAGAGTAAGACTGGCCACAAATACTGTTATTTAAAAATTTTTCTTTGTTTCAAGTTTTTAATTATTTTAAATTTGGAACAGGTTTATTATTTTAAAAAACTTCTTTCGATTTTGCGCCATTTTTTCACTTTAATAAATATGTAGGTATAAATTCTGGTAATATTAAATTTTTTCATAAAAAAAATGCATTTTCATTTGTAACAGAACTTATGGCTGGTTACTGGGTAAGTAAGTACGGATTGTTCATGAATAATATTAAATAGTATATATTTTTTTTGTATCATCATAATTATCATCATTTCAGCCATTATCCGTCCACTGCTGGACATAAGCTTCCCCCATAGACTGCCATAAAGAACGGTCCTGAGCTACCTGCATCCACTGACTCCCTGCAATGCATTTCATGACGTCACTCCACTTTTTTGTATACTGACATTTTATTTATTTATTTAAAACTTTATTGTACCAATATTACAGGACTTGATGATGATTTTTCAATAAGTATCGTATAGTACAAAAGGCGGTCATTTTAGACTCTTGATATTTATTTCAAGGTAAACTAGGATTTATCTGCGATTTTTACCGCATAACCAGCATGTACCTACTCTACTGTCCCTATTGTACTGAACAAGGTGTTATCTTGCGGAAGTCCATATCACTGGTTATTTCTTCTCACGAAGAATTACTTTGTTTAATTCCGCTACCATTAGTATGTGTGTGACTGCCAACACTCGAAGATTGTCTACTGCTAACTTACTTCTGGTAATAATGGCGGGAGCGGAATTAAACAAAATAATTCTAATTAAATAACCAGTACTCTAATTCATTCTTCATTCCAAATATACGTGAATATAAAATTGAATACATATTTATTTGTTTTTTCTATCTATCTATCTATCTTATTTAAGAGTTGCGCTCTTGTCAGTCTAGCTCTTGCCACTCACTACGATTTTCAGCGAGTCTCTTCACCTCTTGATACGACACGACACCAACACCTTCCTTGATCTGCCTGATGTAACTATGCTTTGATCTCCCTCTTCCCCTCCTTCCTTTTATGTTACCTTCTATTATAATGTTTATAAGTTCGTCGTGTCGTATCAAGTGTCCTAACACTTTTTTCCCTTCTGTACTCATTTATTCTTATTATTTATTCTTTATTGAGGTGAGGAGGTTCTTTGTGAGGTAAGCTTAATGCCGTATGGCATTCTCTACCAGCTATCTTTTAGGTAAAAACAGAAAGCGTATGAAAGGCAATGGTGGTGCAACAGATGTGACGTAATTATTGTAATATATTAAAATAATTATACATACACATAATATGTGAGAAATACACATATAATACATAAACATTACTTGGAATATACGTGATTATACTAATATATACCTTTTTAATATATAAGTAAGGATTAAGATTCAGGAGAAATAATACAGGCAATTTATTTCTCTTTCTTTGAAGTCGTTTTTTATATCTAATTATTCTCTGTATTTCACAGAGTAATATAACGTTTAGATACATAGCAACACTAGTTAGAAAATGTATAAATAGAATTTTTAATAATGGAATCATATGTGATTTTTTTTTAAGGATACATATATCAAGAGAACATATCCGTTTCCAACGGATGTTCAAGTCGGTCACATTTTATTTTATGGTCCTGTTAAGGATTTTAGATTATTTCATTTTCCATTCGTTCACATAAAGACCTTCAAATGATTAGAATTTACCTTTTTTACCAACTTCAAAAAAAGGAGGTTCTCAATTCGCTTGATTTCTTCAAATCTTTTTTTACCTCATGAATCTGTCAGTTGTAAACCGACTTGGAAAATTGTGTTTCAACCGTAAAGCACTTGTGTTTGCATGGCTGAGTTTCGGTTTGAAGGGTGGGATATGGCGTGAATTTACTGGGTACAGAGGAATAACACCTGAGTCCTCAGGAATGGCAACGCATGGGGGGTATCATGGGCGAAACAGTATATATACTCTGTTATGTCCATGGCACCTGGCAAGCGTTCAGCAGTGGACAGTTAACGGCTGAAATAATGACGATGATGTGAACTAGACCAAATACTGATATACAGATGAAGCTGAATCAAATCAAATCATCCCAACTGAAACGAGTAAAGCAGTTTGCTATAGCTAGTTATATTAAGATGTAAGATGATAAAGTAACGCAATATTAAACCATTATAGTTCTCGTAAATAACAAAGGATGGGATATTATATTCTGTAGAGTAACCTGATCTCCGACCCTCATTATTATAAACCGGAAAACGCACACCCACTATTTCATCAATTCACCCGTCATTCCACATATCGATCTACATTCACTATTATAGCAGTTTATCGTCATAGTCGTAGAATACTGACGGATCTATATATGTAATATTTGTTAGATCCGTCAGTATTCTACGACTATGACGATATATTCGAATAGTCGAATGAGAAAAAAACTTTATTTCGATCAAACATGGGATTGCACTCACATAGGGGTTAAATAATGACGCAGGTACCTAGGAAAAGCAAAAATAAAAAAAAAATAGTAATAAAACTCGATACTTTCTAAAATAACTAAAGTAGACACTTGCATCGTGTATGTGTGTGCGTGTGTGCGTGCATTCTTGCGTGTGTGTGTGTAAAAGAGAGTGAGTGCCTCCAATTTTTTTCTGTGTTCTGCTAAGTTTTGTCAATTTTGCTCGATTTACACCACAGGGCATTGTAAAAGGCGGCTAAGGGAACAATGCGCAGTACTCCGGTACAAATCTATTAAATTTCCTGCCTTCTTGTCTCTGTAATCTGTCTCCCATTTGTAATCCTCATCTGTCTTAGTTACAGAACGCTTTATCCATCTCTTGGGCCAGCCATATAGTTGAAACAACTGATAATGATGGAGAAGAAAGAGTCTCGAGAGGTGACTTGGTTCAAGTAAGTGTACTGTGGGGTGACGATGTCAAGAGTATTGCAGGAAGTTATTGGATGCAAACGACGCAGGATCGTACTTTATGGCGTAATATGAGGGAGATCGATGTTTAATATTAGACAATACAATGATGACGATGATGATAGTCTTCTCTTGTGGGACAACAATAGGTAATAATAGATTAGTATTTAGTATAATATCCTATGAACATTAATTACCTGAGAGTAAAAAAAAGCAATCAAACGACTCAGGTATTTATACGGAACCCACTCCTGTTAGTAATTTAATGAGAAATAAATACAAGAGGACTGTCGTTTAAATCATTCCATCTGTAGACTATAAATATTATGACCGCCGCGAATCCACGCCCGCGGGAATGAAAAATAAATTACTTTCGAATACTTCGATACCAAGTGTTAGGGTGCGTATAGACCGAGAATAAGTTTGCGTAATATTCGTTATATTACGCGAATTACGCTACATAGAATTTATGCGTTACGCATATTTTAGATTACGCAAGCATTACGTTACATATGCATATTACGAATTTTTGATATAAAGTGCACATTTGATTTGGTTTTTTGGCTAAGAGGTTTAGTTTCATGTTATGTTTCATGTTACAATTCAAGTAGAACGAACTGCTGAACTACTCATCGTTGCTCTATTTGAAATTGTACAATTATAAGATATACCTATTCCAATGTACGCTTTAATGTATTCATTGGTGTAAGGAGACATACTGATCGAGACTAAGATACTATATTGAACGAAGCAACGAGTATTTCAGCTACCACTGGTTACATTACGCGACAGTGTTACAAATGTTTACAAAAGAGTTTATACTTGAATTTGTTTATATTTGAATGAATTGTGACAATATCACATATCAAGTCTTTTACCACTTCTAATTAAAATTTACTGTAATTATTATTTTTTACTTGGTGAAATAAAGTGTAAATAAATAAATAAATATAGAAAATATTTGTCAATTTTGAAAAACATATTTTTTTTTTATATTTTCAATTAATTAAAAAGCGTTCTGATAGTGAAATTAGTTTCTGTTGCATGTGACACTGTTAAAAATTTGATTACAATTATAACTAGTTTTGAACTTGACAGGAATTTTCATGAGAAAATTTCACGGATGTGTTACAAGTTAATAAGGGCTTCTATTGAGGATGAAACTAATTGGGCAACCCCGAAATTAATACACGAGTAAAGCCGAGGTAAATAATACTCAGTAATTATCTTCGTGCCACAATTAAATCGAGACACGGGAGCAACATTTATTAGTGTTCGTTTAACTGTGCTTATTTGCGTAACGCTCGTCCTGACCTGTTACGTTGCAGGTGAATGTTCTTGGTGTGTATAGACCTTTATACAAATAAAAACAGAAAATATTTTCATCGTACCACAGTTATACTTCGAGAGGCTGATTCTATCAACCGTGGTGTTTGACAACTTATTATTACATTTTATTACTGGTTTTTGCCTGCAGCTTTGTACACGTGGTTTTTTTTTAAGTAAGTCATTGTATTTTTTTTCTCTCTCTTCAATCGTACACTCTTGACAGAGTGGTCGTGGTTTTTATAATAATAGTGGATCGTCGATGAGGCTCTCCTTCGCGATTGAGGTCCTCGCAATGTTTCTCCATCTACTTCTGCTCACAAC